GTGGTTTTGTTATAGTTAAAGAACTTCTGCTGTGGAAACAGTGCTGTATTAATTCAGACAAGTATATTGAATAAAAAAAAATTGCTTTGGGACATAATGCCCAATTTCAGAATAACACATTGCTTTGTTAAAAATGGGGAATTGATTTTGTGAGTGAGATAAGGAAAAATGAAGACAACTGAAACGAAAAACACTCAAATCAGGCAGAAACTCTTTTTTTTCTAATTAATTCAGCTGTTAATATGTAATTGCTAGTACAAACAAACTGGTTTCATGCAATCACTAAACTAAAATTCAAGTAAAAAATGACATCTCGTAAAATCTTCAACCCTGAGTCAATAGATCCCAAATATAAGTCTTACTAACTTCCAAAATACAACACCTGTAATAGAGGAAACCCAGTACACACTAATTGACAGGTACCTGGTTATGTAATCAGTTAATTTGTATTTAGTAATGTGTATTGCATTATTAATTTTCATTACATTAATTGCTTTTAGTGCATATCATTTACATACATTTAGATGTTAATTGGTCTTTCCTTTTGGTGAGAGGATTGTATTTCAAAAAATCTTGATATTTTAAGCTGAATTATTCTAAGGCCTATTGTGGTAGAAATATGGCCTACACCAACCTACAGTAATTAGTACATAGTTATCCTTCATAAAACAGATATTGTATTTACACATGAGCACACATAAGTTGTAATAGCAAGTCTGCCATGATACACCCGATATGTTAACTGGTACTTGATAGAATACGGAGCCGATAAAATGATAAAATGATGTTTTCCTTCTAGTATTTTGGTTGTTTATGGCATTAAAGAAATACAAAGTTTTAGAATAATACTTTGAATGATTATTAGGTTTAAACATATTCTACATATTTCTTTTTAATACTCTTCAGTTAATATTTATAACATTCATTTCTGTTCAGGTACATAGTCCTTTTGATTTATTTTATGGTTAAGGATCAAAATTAGAGACTGGAGGTATTTTGATAAAAGAGGGACCTCATGGTTAATGGGGCTACCATCAGTGATTGATAAAAAGAGCTCTGTCATGTTTTCCAGGAATATCCAGTTCTATCGGTCAAGATACAAGTCTATATTTAGATGTTAGTTACATTTAGAATCATAGCTAAAACATTACTTTTTTCAATGATGATAATCAAAATGGTATACCGTAAAAACCCATGTAATTTGCGGACCTACGTAATTTGCGCAGGCACTTTTTGAGGCTGAAAATCCTCAAAAAAGCTTCTACTCAAATATTTTGTGCACCAAAAAAAATAGAAAAAAAGTTTAAGTTCCGAAAATCGATCTCTGAAAATGAAAATGAATTTGGCTGAACTTTCTTTGTTAACGGTTACCTATTTAATAATCCTTTCCACATAAACTCAGGTAACAACACAGTATGTATCAATTGTATCTTTTATTGATGTTTGAAATAAAAAAATGCGTTTGTCTTTGAGTTCCGTGTACCAAGGGAGATTATCTCGTGTCCAAGATGGCGGTCTGCCAGAATCGTCGATCTTTTCATGAAAAAAACTTGAAATTGCTTATACCTGTGTATTTTACGCACCCCCCACTTTGGGTATTACATTTCTGAAAAAACAGTGCGCAAATTACATGGGTTTTTACGGTATAAATCGGGATTCAGGTATTACATTTCAGTGTCATTGATCTAATGAAACGTATGGAGTTCAGACCTCCGTTTAATGTCAGTTTGACCTGGACAATGGCAAGAACGGCGAGTACTCCCATTAGTCTATTGTCCATTTGTACTGGACTGAAACAGGAATAGCGAATAATTGTCAGTAGGACTCTGACAAAGATGAAAATTGCAAGTTCTCTTATCAGTTTACTCTCATTTACAGAATCAGACCAGGACATATTGTCAGTTTACTGTCAGCTTGACTCAGAGTGAGATATTTGAGTATAGTACTGTGGTTTTGACTCATCTGACATGGACATAGACCTGCAACCAATTAGTAAGGCCTCATTTTGGCCCTGCATATTAATTTGTTAGCAACATTGATAAAGTATAGAATACGCAGTTCATTAGTTGATCCTGAATCAGACCCCTGCAGTTTTTGTTTCATTTTCAAATATTTGATTTTTGAAAATTTTCAATTCTGTATAATGCATCACAAAATTTGATTTATTTGAGATGTTTTTGTAGAGAAGACTAGAAAATATTTTTTATGACAGTGACTATTTAATACATTGTAATATATTTTATGACAGTGACTATTTAATACATTGTAATATATTTAATAACAGTGACTATGTAATACATTGTAATATATTTTATAACAGTGACTATGTAATACATTGTAATATATTTTGAGTTTGATAGTACCCTTTACCTTCATACTACTCTGCATTTGACTAAAGTCACTCATGAATTATCTCTGACTAATTTCACTTGGACAGATCCATGAATAGACTCTCTGACTTCAGATTGTTACAATATACATGTAGATATATTACAAATCTGTATCACGAGGGTAATCCCGGTACTCGCTATTTCGCTTACGTCAGAGTGATACTAGCTGTTTGGATTACGTCGGAGCAAAATGTTAGTTTTGCGCCAAATACGGCTTACGGCAGAGTAAAATTCTCTTACGATTTGAAAAGTGTTGCGGCAAAATACAAGATTACGTAAGTATAATGATGTGATATAAGTAACAATGTATCTTGTCAAAATGTTAAAACAAACTTCTCCTAATCCACTCGGCCAGATTCAGATATGATAACTACTACCTGATGGTGTGCATCCAGGTATTATTTGTTCAATCTGACCCCTTTTTTTAGGGAGTGATGGCCCTTTGTAGAAAAATATTTGTCCAGACACCTCCTCCAAAACCATGGGGCCAATTTCAAGGGAAGTTTTCATATATGATAACTACCCCTTGGTGTTGTGCATCCAGGTAATTTTTTTCCAACCATTTTTTATGGAGTTATGGCCCTTTCTTGAAAAATCCTTGTCCTGAAAACTTCTCCTGGTCAACTCGGCTAATTTCGAAGTTTACAGATATGGTAACTGCCCCCTAATGTTGTGAATCCAAGTACAACTGTAGTACATTTTCATTCCGACCCTTTTAAAAGGAGTTATGGTCCTTTGTTAAAATAAAACTTTGTCTGTCTCCTAAAGTACTTGTTCAATTTCAATGAAAGTTTACACATATGGTAATTAGTATTTTTTTCATTCCAACACTTTTGACAAAGTTATGGCCCTTTGTTGAACAAATCCGAAAACTTTTTGTCCGGACAACTCATTCTTAAGTTATTGATCGATTTCAACGAAACTCTGCAGATATGATAAATACCACCTGAAGTTGTGCATCCAGGTATTATTTGTTCAATCTGACCCCTTTTTTTACGGAGTGATGGCCTTTTGTTGAAAAATATTTGTCCAGACAACTCCTCCAAAACTATGGGGCCAATTTCAACGGAAGTTTTCAGATATGATATCTACCCCTTGGTGTTGTGCATCCAGAAATTTTTTTCCAACCCTTTTTTATGGAGTTATGGCCCTTTCATGAAAAATCCTTGTCTTGACAACTTCTCCGGATCAATACCATCTGAAGTTGTGCATCCAGGTATTATTTTTTTTTTCATTTCGAGCCTTTTTTACAAAATGGCCCTTTGTTGAAAAATCTTTCTACGGGCAACTCCTTCAAAACTACGGGGTTAATTTGATGTCGTGCATCAGGGTAGTATTTCTTTCATTTCAACCCTTTTTTAAGGAGTTATGGCCCTTTGTTTGAAATCTCTGTCCTTAACTACTTTGACGATTTCAGCAAAACTGGGTCATCTGGGCTAACAAGATTTAGTTTGCAAGTATGTTTTGCAATTTGGAGGGAGTACAGAAAGTATGTCACTTATCTATATACTTGAATAAGTGTACAGCTCAGTGAATAAAGAAATCATTACTGGTGGGAGACTATGGATTACTTTGCAATTTTTTACCTTACTTAGCCTGTAGCTTATAGTTCTGGATGATATAGGAGTGGGGGAATTAGTTAGCCTTTGGCTTACAGTTCTAGTTGTTAAAGGTTGTGAGGTCGCGTCACCAAACATTTCAAACTCCCTCCCTTGAAATAAGAGTTACTGCCCCTTAATAAGTAGCTTACGATGTAAGTTTGGTTTCAATTTTCCAGTTATTAATTATAACTGATTTGTTAAACTTAAGTGATTCTGAGACAGAATAATTGTTGTCATTTGACAATAGAAATTTCCATTGGAAACATACATTATTTGTTTAGTCATGTGATTTTGTTTTTTGATAGTCACACCATACATGTGCAAGCTGCAGTGTGTGGTGAATGAAATACCTGTCTAGATTTCAAAATAACGAACATATTCGGTCTATATAACTGATACACATCTACTCAAAATGATGGTCAAGTTTGTAATGAGTGTAGAAATAAAACACAGAAGAAAAAAATCAAACTTTTGGGAAGTCTCAGATCTAGAAAAAAAAAGTCAATTTTAAATATTCTATTTGTTCCTATGTGATGCTTTGTGACTAAGAAAATATCCTAAAATTTGTTAAAAAATATTGATTTTCATTTAGTTGAAATATAATTGTTTGACTGTAATCCGTATCATTTCAGTTTGTAAATGAACGTACAGCGTATCACACAGGGACGTGATCCGTATCAGCATACATACCAACTGTATAGTTGGGTAAAAATATCGCTAAAACTTGTGTTTAGTTCAGACTATTCAATGTTATTTTGTTGATGAGCCATTGGCCAAGACATGTGTTGTGTAAAAGTAGTTTAATTAAATAGTTATTACATTCAAATCTCCACAAAGCCGTATGTAAACTGATGTCCATACATATATATGACTATTCAGTCAAAACCAATTCAATTTAAAAAATAAAATATTGATATAGCAGCTTAAGACATACTTATAATACATGTATATAGACTGAGTTACAGTGGTAAGTATTTACACAAGAAAGCGCAAAAATACCTCTTCAATCATGGGAGCATTTTACTCTGCCGTAAGCCGTATTTAACGCAAAACTGACTTTTTGCTCCGACGTAATCCAAACAGCGGGTATCACTCTGATATAAGCGAAATAGCGAGTATCAGGATTACCCCCGTGGGTATGTCAATGTGTACCTTACATTATTCTTGTCAGTCATACAGATAATAACTGACTACAAACATTAATATATAGAATTAGCTTCTGATTTCAGCTTCCCTGCCTTCCAATTGTTGAGAATTTACATACTTGATTAGTCAGAATTCGTAAAACGATAACATGCCAAGTACCTATTTCCAATCTCTAGGCAAGTTTCAATACACAGGAAATGGGATCTAAAAATGGATTGTCTCCCCTGATTAATTGTTCTTGTTGATGGGTGATAATTGTATATATAGCTATTAATATCCTGTGATGTAGGCACTGATTTAGTTTTAAGATATATATTCTATGAGTAAACAATAAAAATGCTCTGATTATTTAAAATATCCTGAATCAAGATTAATATTTCTGGTCTATGAAAGCTAGAAGACCTATATTGACAATGAGATTGTTGATTTTTGTAGAGTGGCAAACGAACTGGCTCGGCCGTATCAGCTGTGTCTGAGCGGCTGGGTAGCGCCAGAGATGAGGTATTGTCACATATATTGCTGTTTGTTTGATGTTTGGTGTTCATCAGTAAATATTCTAGTTAATAGTACATATGTAACAGTTTGTCTTTATTTGATAGTACATATGTAACAGTTTTGTCTTTATTTGATAGTACATATGTAACAGTTTTGTCTTTATTTGATAGTACATATGTAACACTTTTGTCTTTATTTGAAAGTACAAAATGTAACAGTTTTGTCTTTATTTGTAACATATTATCCTTTTATTACTATTTTGTATTTATTTGATATTGTGTTAATAACTAGTGTGTTTAGATAAGTAGAAAGCAACAGCACTTTTTCTTTTTATTTCACAAGTTTTATCTTTTTGACACAGCCAGTGTTAATGATGTTGTACGTATAGTTACCAGTTCCAGATTATCTAATATTTTTAGGTGATTTTCTAGGGCTTTCCAGGTGATGTAGTATTTTCCAGGTGTTTTCTAGATGATTTAAGAAACCCGGTCCCACTGCAGGAAAACACTGGAGATTTGCACTGTAGTTTTACATATTTCCAGTAGTCTCCCCTTGATTGTATTTTGGATATGAGACTGGGCCAGTAGTCTCCCCTTAATTGTATTTTGGATATGAGACTGGGCCAGGGTGCTTCCATTGACCAGTGAGCTCAGTTGGTTAGAGCAACAGTTTAATGATTTGAGGTCTAGGGTTCGAATCCTGGTCTGGTCTCATTGCATTCTTTGTTTATTTCATCTTTACCATTTTTTCATAAAAGTTCTGAAAGTGCATATATTTAGTTTTCGGCAGTGGCATAGAGATCCTTAATATTTTCAATAGGATTAAGCATGCTACAAGTGACTTAATCAGTATTTTCCAAGTGACTAAGTGTTTTTCTAGATTACTTAGTGTTTTCCAGGTGATACCATGTGTTTCAGGTGACTTAATTTGTTCCAGGTGACTTAATTTGTTCCAGGTGACTAAAGTTAGCTAAGTGTTTTCTAGATGACTTAATGTGACCCAGATAGCTAAGTGTTTATCAGGTGACTAAGTGTTTTCTAGATGACTTAATGGGACCCAGATAGCTAAGTGTTTTCTAGATGACTTAATGGGACCCTGATAGCTAAGTGTTTTCTAGATGACTTAATGGGACCTAAGTTGATTCAATAGCTAAGTGTTTATCAGGTGACTAAGTGTTTTCTAGATGACTTAAGCGGACCCAGATAGCTTAGTGTTTTTCAGGTGAATAGGTGTTTTCCAGATAAATTAATTTATTCCATATGTCTAAGTGTTTTCCATTTGACCTATTGTTTTCCAGGTGCCTAACTGTTTTTCATAAGATTTTATGTGTTCCGTGTGAATGAATGTGTTTCAGTTTGGCAAGGGTTTTCCAAGTGACTCAGTGTGTTCCTGTTGACATAGTGGTTTCCTGATGAATACGTATTATGATTACACAAGCTGCACTGTAAAATGTATCTATAGTTAATATATCTGATATACATGTATCTATAGTTAATATATCTGATATACATGTATCTATAGTTAATATATCTGATATACATGTATCTATAGTTAATATATCTGATATACATGTATCTATAGTTAATATATCTGATATACATGTATCTATAGTTAATATATCTGATATACATGTATCTATAGTTAATATATCTGATATACATGTATCTAACAACGAACTATACATTATGCAGGATATCGTTTTACATTACTCATATAGATGCCTACTTCATTACTAACATCTAACCATAATTCATATAATTTCATAGTTTGTTCATGAATATGAGATTCTATGAACTCAGTGTATTATCATGATGTTTTGGTCAAATGTAGACTATAACAAAGGCACTGCTTCAAAAAGAGAAACTGGGTCTGCTGACATGTAAATGGATTATCAGTTTATTGAACAGTTCTTATATTGTTGTTTGTTATATTAATCATTGTTACCGTTCATTGTTCAGTGATGAACAGATCTCAGTTTTTGAGCACCTGACATTTAGCTATAACTTAAAGTGATTCATCACGGAATAATTACCAATTGTTATATATTGGAAATCCCTTGTGTAAATGTTTAGTAATGAGAACAGCTATGGATTCCATTAACATCCATTGTTTGGTATGTAATCTGATGTAGAACAGACTATTTAAGTATCGACTTCCAATGTGTATAAAGTATTGTTGTACCAATTTAGAAATCTAGTCAGTTGGTGTAGTGATTAGCGCACTTGCCTTTCACAAAAAAGACTGGTATTTGATTCCCAATTGGTAGTGAAAAGTTATTCCAAGAGGTCACCTGCCCCCCAAAAAATAATCTTCATTAGGAATACTCCAGTTTCCCTCAAGATTAACCCCTCCCACATGCTTTCATCCAGGCCAACAAGAAAATGATATATGTTGATAAAAGTTGTTCCATATCTCTTCTTTTTTTCTTTTTTTAAATAATGTGGAAATCTGTTTTCTCTTACTGAAATAGTAATAAGGAGAACTTAAACAGAAAGAGTTGTGTAAATGTTTAAGAGCTCATGTCACCTATATACAAGGAGTTACATACCTTTTTTTAACAAGGGGTTACAGAGCTCATATCACCTAAATACAAGGAGTTACATCAGAGCTCATGTCACCTAAATACAAGGAGTTACATCAGAGCTCATATCACCTGCATACAAGGACTTACAGAGCTCATATCAAACCTAAATACAAGGAGTTACATCAGAGCTCGTGTCACCTAAATACAAGGAGTTACATCAGAGCTCGTGTCACCTAAATACAAGGAGTTATATCAGAGCTTGTGTCACCTACATACAAGGAGTTACATCAGAGCTCATATCAAACCTAAATACAAGGAGTTACATCAGAGCTCATATCACCTGCATACAAGGAGTTATAGAGCACACATCACCTTGGTACATATATAAGGGGTTATACAGTTCATATCACCTAAAAACAATGACTTAAAGAGCTCATATCACCTTAATTTTTGAAATAATTATGTGTATTTTTAACAAAATGTGTCGGTGAATCATGTCTTTGATAGTTAGAAAATTTTGTATACAATTTTATCTGTAGATTTTGCAATAGAGGGTCTTCATATAATGGCGCCTTGCTAAAGATTTAGAAATCATTGTAAAAATGAATTTGTATATTTCATCATTTCAGGTGTAGCTTACAGGTATATTACCCTTTCATCATCAGCCTTTATGGCTCACACTTGACAAGGAATGTCCAACAACCTTTTCATTGTTCATTGTTGCTGCCAAGCCCCATTCACTCATATTTCCATTGTCATTTGTTACATTTTTGAATTTTGCATGCCTCATTTCTCAAGAAATCACAATTGTTCAGAAATGGTTTCTTTCCAATCACATCCAATGTGTCTCTTCAAGGTCATACACTGCATGTAATTGGTCATTACAATATGAGCATGTGATCGCCTGTCCTATCAGCATGCTATAACACTTATCGTCTATTTGTCCGATCTTTTTTACAGTATGCCAGTTGTGGATAATGTTACAATATAAAATGATTACTTTTTCAAAAGTTGTCATAAAACAATTTTAATTCTGCCATTTTTCATGTATTTCACATATCTTTTGAATGGAAGCTGTGTCACATGATAGTATGTGATCATGTACCAGAAGGAGCTCCTGCATGTAACTTTTATGTCTTCAAAATCTCCAACATTCAGTATTGAGTTACGTTTGCAATTTAGCATGTTTAAAATGTGTTGTTTTTGTATTTTCTTATCTGCATGGAATGATAATTAATTTTATGCGTGCTGCAGATTTTCTGTTGTTGTTATATAAGTGATGTACAGCAGGTGACAGGTGAAATAAATCTCATCTCCAAAATGATTCTCACTAGAACAAGTTGCTATAGCCTTTAATATAATAAAATCTTGATTTTATCATTGGAGCATGAATAGGAAAACATGTTTACCCAGTAATGGAACAGATATAATGACATGATCTGTATTATAAATTCAAACTGAAGCACATTCTGTAAAGGCCGATTAAACTGAAACTTTGTAGGAATGATCGACTCATGGTCCTGACAAAGTGTTGTTATTTTGCGGGTCTATCAGAAATTCAATATGGCTGACACGGCCGCCATTTTGAAAAACTATTTCAAACTTAAAGTCAAGTTCTGCTAGGCCGATTGAACTGAAACTTTGTAGGAATGATCAACTCATGGTCCTGACAAAGTTTTGTTATTTTTCGGGTCGATCAGAAATACAGTTTGGCTGCCCATGCCACTATTTTGAAAATACCTATTTTATACTTAAAAACAAGTTCTAATAGGCCGATCTAACTGAAAATCGGTCTAGGAAAGATCAGTGTATGATCCTGATAAACTTAAGTTAACATTATACTTAACAATTTTTTACTCAAATTGGTACATATTTCAACAACAAAAATAAATACTGTAGGACTCAGGTGACTTTTAAGGCCCATGGGCCTCTTGTTTATATAACAGACTAGTCTTCATATATGGGTGCATTTGTCTGAACAAGTGTTCACATTCTATCTACAATTCCTGATTTCTTACATATATAATCACGAAAAGCCTCATTGGTACATTTTATTCTGCAAGTTATCTCCCTTTTGCTGTTAATTGGAGGACTATTGTGTCATGGTGCAGTTGTCTCCCTTATACTGTGGGAATGTTGGGACTGCTGTTACATCCATCAAAGATTATTTAATTAAGGATACATGTTGTTCTGTTCCATGTATCTCCATTCCCACAGAGATTCACTCCAAAAAACATATAAAATATGCATGGAAAATGGTTAATTGGTAAATAAATTGATCTCAAAGACAGCATGTAGTGATGAAGATGTGGAAGTTATGAATCATCAGAGAATTGCTTTCAAAGGGAAATAAATCTATCAGAAAACACAGGTATAATGTGTAGTAAAATCAATTTGATTAAATTGTGAAAGATTTCTTTTTTAATTGACAATTTCAAAAATTGTTTTAGTAACAGTTCATCTTTGAATATGCTTCCAGTAAATGTGTTATTTTAGGGTGACCGGATCCTTACAGATGTTACACGGTGTATTGTCATATGATACTTGTAAGACAGTGGAATGAGTGGGCTTAGTGTTTCTACAGAGAAAATTAAAATATCATTCACAAATGTTCATCATAATGTGCTCAATAATGTCTGGTTTGGTACAGATATTCTGGTAGAATTTTTTGTTTTATGAAACTCATCAGATAGATTTGTTGAAAACTGATCTGAAAATATTGAAATATATATACATGTATTGTTATTCAATATGTGTGATAGAATATTATTAATTATGTTTTAAAACTTTCAGCATGTAATTTTTCAAAAAGAATTTTCAAATCATGCGTCTAGTGATATTTGCTCTATGCAATTTCTATGAAATGTTACTATAGGACTCTGTGCAAGAAAAGCATGGCCATTCTTATCTTATTGTAAAGCATGGCCATTCTTATCTTATTGTAACACAATTAGTTTTCTTCACCCTTAGTCATTGGTACATAACAATAAAAGTAGGATCACATGATTGTAATTGTACATATCCAAAAGTTTCATCAAAGAATATCACCGTTTCAGCTACTGCAATATACTTGTTGTATTAGTTTCCCTGTGTGCAATGATCATTTCACCAAATTAAATAGAAGTTATTCTTTCCTCAGCGCAAGAATACGGTGATAAGTCCAGACTTTCCAGAGCCATTCCATCAACAGTCATCACAGACGCAAAGTTTGACCTCACCACGTGCGAAGCAATGGGGACCAGCCAAGCATGCTGACCGCACTGAATTCTTTGATCTTATTAGGTATTTATGATCCTGTATTTCTCATGAACAATTTAAATGTCAACTATCTACAACACTCATTGGTGTGCAATTGTATTTATTCTTCATGAAGAAAAAGTGCATAACCTTTTGTCATTGAGTACACCACAACACAATCTTGTTAGGTACAAAAAACTAGAGGCTGATGTCTATGAGGACACATTGTAATATCTGATATCTATGGGTCACAATGTAACGTCTGATGTCTATGGGTCACATTGTAATGTCTGACATCTATGGGTCACATTGTAATATCTGATATCTATGGGTACACATTGTAACGTCTGGTATCTATGGGTACACAATGTAACGTCTGATGTCTATTGGTACACATTGTAATGTCTGATATCTATGGGTACACATTGTAACGTCTGGTATCTATGGGTACACAATGTAACTTCTGATGTCTATGGGTACACATTGTAACGTCTGGTATCTATGGGTACACATTGTAACGTCTGGTATCTATGGGTACACAATGTAACTTCTGATGTCTATGGGTACACATTGTAATGTCTGACATCTATGGGTACACATTGTAATATCTGACATCTATGGGTCACATTGTAACGTCTGACATCTATGGGTCACATTGTAACGTCTGATATCTATTGGTACACATCGTAACGTCTGACATCTTNCCGCAAGACGTTGTCGTGCCTCCATCGGTATCTACCCTGTCGTAGTGCTTCTTTGCAACCAGACAAGATATGAGCCAGCACGATGCTCTCTCTGCAGCTTCTATGGGTCACATTGTAATGTCTGACATCTATTGGTACACATCGTAACGTCTGACATCTATGGGGGTACACATTGTAACGTCTGACATCTATGGGGGTACACATTGTAATATCTGGTGTCTATGTACCCCTGCAGGCGGGAGATTGGGAAAAGAATACACCTGCTGCTACCCACTGCATGTATCGTAGGAGGCAACTAATGCGGGAACCCCCTGCAGAATTGGGGATTGGCAATGGGTTCTGTCCCCAGGCCGTGACATACCAAAGTCCTTAAAAATGGTATTTGTTATTCCCTGCTTAACGTTCAGCATTTAGAGAAATGGCAACAACTGGTTCACCCGTCGTCAGTATAATGTGATCGGGCGGAATGCTGTGCTTGGTGCCTAATCGGCATGGCATTTCAGTGAGATAGCACTGTTAATAGGACGTTAAACAAAATTAAACCAAACCAAACTGGTTTATGTGGGTACACATTGTAATGCCCAGTGTCTAAGAGTACACATTGTAATGCCCAGTGTCTAAGAGTACACATTGTAATGTCCAGTGTCTATCAATGCACTTTGTAATGTCCAGTGTCTATCAATGCACATTGTAATGTATACATGTTAATGCCTGGTGTCTATGGTACATATTGCAATATTTGGTGTCTATGGGTACACATTGTTATTTCTGGTGTCTATGGATACCCATGGTAATGTCTTGTTTCTATGAGAACACATGATAGAGTCTGGTGTCTCTGGGTACACATTGTTATTTCTGGCGTCTATGGGTACACATGGTAATGTCTTGTTTCTATGACTACACATGATAGAGTCTGGTGTCTCTGGGTACACATTGTTATTTCTGGGGTCTCTGGATACCCATGATAATGTCTTGTTTCTATGAGTACACATGATAGAGTCTGGTGTCTATGGGTATACATTGTTATGTTATTTCTGGTGTCTATGGATACCCATGGTAATGTCTTATTTCTATGAGTACACATGATAGAGTCTGGTGTCTATGGGTACACATTAATATTTCTGGTGTCTATGGGTACACATGGTAATGTCTTGTTTCTATGAGTACACATGATAAAGTCTGGTGTCTATGGGTACACATTGTTATTGCTGGTGTCTATGGATTCCCATGGTAATGTCTTGTTTCTATGATAACACATGGAAGAGTCTGGTTTCTTGTCTCACATTTAAAGCTAGAAGGTGTTTGGGTACATATTGTAAGCTGTGTGTCTATGGGTACATATTGTAAACATGAATGGAACCAGGTGTGCTTATCAAAAACTGTAGTTAGGCAATTGATGCAAGATACTTGACAACTGCTTAAGCTGTAATCTTGTACACTTCAAACTGAAGTACTTCTTTTTTATATTTTATCAAATGTACAAAATTTTCCTTTTCACTGTTTTGTCAACCTGTTCAAATAATATCTTCCTTTTTGAAAATATGAATTAACATTTTAATACTCAACAACCCCAGTTGTAAGCTTTAGAAGTTCTCTATCATGTCTACCACATCATAAGAGAACAATACCCAGATCTGCTTTTCCTGTGGTACAGCCCACAGTACCCAAGGAAGGCAGATGTGCATCAGAGATAACCTTTCAGAGGATATGTAGGATCGACTTTTGCAGCTGAAACTCGTTATTGATATCTTTTCTGATAAGTTGTTTACTAATAGGCAACTTTACCTCCATCTCATGATGGCCACCATTTATCTGGCAAGGACTGATCCAATTGTCCCTCCATCTCATCATGATCACCTGTATCCAGTAGAGACTGATCCAATTGTCCCTCCATCTCATCATGATCCCCTGTATCCAGTGGGGACTGATCCAATTGTCCCTCCATCTCATCATGATCTACTGTATCCAGTACGGACTGATCCAATTGTCCTTCCATCTCATCATCAGACGTATCCAGTAGGGACTGATCCAATTGTCCCTCCAGCTCATCATGATCTCCTGTATCCAGTAGGGACTGATCCAATTGTCCCTCCAGCTCATCATGATCTCCTGTATCCAGTGGGGACTGATCCAAATGTCCCTCCATCTCATCATGATCTACTGTATCCAGTACGGACAGATCCAATTGTCCCTCCATCTCATCATGATCACCTGTATCCTGTAGGGACCAATCCAATTGTTCCTCCATCTCATCATGGCCACCATTTATCTGGCAAGGACTGATCCAATTGTCCCTCCAGCTCATCATGATCTCCTGTATCCAGTAGGGACTGATCCAATTGTCCTTCCATCTCATCATCAGACGTATCCAGTAGGGACTGATCCAATTGTTCCTCCATCTCATCATGGCCACCATTTATCTGGCAAGGACTGATCCAATTGTCCCTCCATCTCATCATGATCACCTGTATCCAGTAGGGACTGATCCAATTGTCCTTCCATCTCATCATGATCACCTGTATCCTGTAGGGACTAATCCAATTGTCCCTCCATCTCATCATGATCACCTGTATCCAGTAGAAACTGATCCAATTGTCCCTCCATCTCATCATGATCACCTGTATCCAATAGGGACTGATCCAATTGTCCTTCCCTCTCATCATGATCACCTGTATCCAGTGGGGACTGATCCAATTGTCCTTCCCTCTCATCATGATCACCTGTATCCTGTAGGGACTACTCCAATTGTCCCTCCATCTCATCATCGACACCGTTTATCTGGCAAGGACTAATCCAATTGTCCCTCCATCTCATCAGGATCGACTGTATCCAGGACGGACTGATCCAATTGTCCTTCCCTCTCATCATGATCACCTGTATCCTGTAGGGACTACTCCAATTGTCCCTCCATCTCATCGTGAGCACATGTATCCAGTAGGGACTGATCCAATTGTCCCTCCATCTCATCATCAGGCCACCATTTATCTGGTAGAAGCTGCTCTCAATTGTCTCACTAACTCATCAAGGCCACCCTTTATCGGTTGGGACCACTCTGCTCCAATATCCCTCAATCTATGATTTATCTGGTAGAGACTGTTCCCATGTCCATCAATCTTATTGCCATACTTTATCTGGTAGGGACTGCTCCCATGTCCTTCCATCTCATAATGGCCATACTTCATCTGGTAGGGACTGCTCCCTTGTCCCTCAATCTCATCATGGCCACAGTTTATCTGGTAGGGACTGCTCCCATGTCCTTCCATCTCATCATGGCCATACTTCATCTGGTAGGGACTGCTCCCTTGTCCCTCAATCCCATCATGGCCACAATTTATCTGGTAGGGACTGCTTTCATGTCCCTCAATCTCAACATGGCCATACTTTATCTGGTAGGGACTGCTCCCTTGTGTCTCAATCTCATCATGGCCATACTTTATCTGGTAGAGACTGTTCCCATGTCCATCAATCTTATTGCCATACTTTATCTGGTAGGGACTGCTCCCTTGTCCCTCTATCTCAACATGGCCATACTTCATCTGGTAGGGACTGCTCCCATGTCCCTCAATCTCATCATGGCCACAATTTATCTGGTAGGTCTAGAAACATACACACCTGCCTGAAGAGAACTGTCCATCGTAAGTGCAAACTTAAACCACCTAAGAAGTCAGATTACAGAAGATTTACTTCAAAATTAACTTAGAAATATCACTGAATGAGAATTATTTCGAGATTTAATTATTGTGTGGGCTATTTTTTCTTGTTCTTTCTATATATAACTTCTTCTATGTTACATACATTTTTAGTTTTGCAATAATTATAGGTAGACAAGGTAATTGATAAACTTAAACCAAAAATACACTGGGTATCTTTTGTTGTAAGTGTCTGACAGGCACAGGAAAGGCTTAACTGACGGCATTGTGCTTTGTTAGGAGTGTTTCTGACAAGTTTGTTGTCATCTTTCAAACAGCTCTCTTCAAACGTGTATGGTAAGAATGGTACTTGACAAAAGAGGATGTGTTTGAAGCTCGCTAATTGGTCGATTGCTAATCAAAGCTATCAAATGTCAACAGAAAATAGAATATCATGTAAACGAAACACATATTTTGTTCTCTCTAATTTTTTATGATATGTACATTACTCTTGTGAAAACTGATTGTTTTAACAAGGAATCAATATTTATGTTTTTTAACATGAAATGTTGTTGAGATTGGTGGTAAGGTTATGTGTGTATATGTTTATGGGATTCATGGTAAGGTGATGTGTGTATGTTTATGGGATCAATGATAAGGTGATGTGTGTATGTTTATGGGATTCATGGTAAGGTGATGTGTGTATGTTTTT